CTGTAGGTACATTTCCTCCACTTATGTTACAATATTCAATCATCAACTTGTTAAAAACTTTACAATCACAACTAAATATTATATTTTGATGAAAATAGGACAATTTGATTTTTACCGTAATTTCTTTATTGAGAGGAATAGTTATTGTGGTCGCGTTGGCCCTACATCCTTCTGTATTCCCGTCTGTCCGTCAGACGTTCGTGCAGAATAATGCTTTTAATCTGAAGTTCAGGACTTTAACCGCCCCCAAAATTCCAAAGGGTGAAAGAAAACAGGCACTCAGGGTCAGAATAGTACATACCACACAAACAAGCGATCGATAGACAATTAATTACTTAGAGCAAAATTTAGTTACTTACCTTAAAGTGTCAATAATCCAAAATCTCCTGTGATAACTGTGATTTTCAAAGAAACAGATGCACCAAACTGATGATACTTTATAACTACACCTCTCCGATTGAATTCAAACTTCTATTTAAGCGACACTGACTTCGTTGTAATTACAATTATAGTGTTGGCCGTTTGATGGCGAACAAACACCCTTTAACTGGTAACTTGAAGACCTTCTGTTAACCACAGCACACCGATTAAACTTTTTCGTAAACTGTAAAATACCCTTTCGCTTAAATTTTATCTTAAAGTTCACTTGTACTACACGACTATTTCAATTTTTTATACTCGTACCACTTAACTAACTTTCTTTGAAATGTGATAACTGGCAAAGCTGGCCGTTTTGCAAGAATCTTCTATACCAGCAAGTAACCGTTTTGCAACAAATACTCTCAGATACAGCTTTCAAGGTTTAAAAAAACTCACCTCACGTCTTCCACCAAGACCAAACAAACGCCCCCTCTTAACCTTCCGTTCCTCCTCCATTTACAAGTATTGCCTATTTTCGAAAGATCAAACTGCACCTGTGTTCAATACGGCGAGAACAGGTCTGTATCTTAAAATTTAATTAGCGTATGCAGCAATAAGACTTCTTATACACGAGAAAAAACATGAGAACGTTCACTTTACTTTACTTTGATAAGATGATTGGCATTGCACTGAATCCCAACCCATGACCAAATCTAACATTAATAAAAAATCAAATTCTCATACAGGATATCCCATCGTTATTGCATGTGCCGAAGCCAAATTAAACGTCCGGCTGACTTAGTTTAACAACAATATAATTATGTTAAATGTTGTTGTTTTCTTTATCAACTTCACTTCACTCAACTCCTCATCTACTTCTGCATTTATTCTCTTCGGTACAGTTCTGTCCAACCATTCTTTCATTTATCCCTTCTTCAATTATCTGATAATCAATTGCTAATACTCTCCTTCGTATGTTATTGCTCTTCCTCGGTCACATTCTCCTTCTTCGCATTCGCTGAACTTTATTTTGTAATTCTCTTCATTTTCACCTGTCCATATCTGTATCCCTCTTCGTCTTTGTATCCTTAATGTGCTTGCTCGTATTCTTTTTCTTTTCAATGTCTTTTTCATCTGCTGGTGATTCGACTCCGTCCTGATTTATTTCCTTATTTACTGTGATGTAGTTTATTACGAGGCCGGGACATTTCGCCGAATGCCCACAACGCCGACACGATTTTTTGAAGGTCCATATCGCCGACTAGGGACACTACGCCGACGGACACTACGCCGACCGTGCCCACATCGTCGACAAGTGTGCAAGGGACACAACGCCGACCATGCCCACTTCGCCGACGGACACTACGCCGACCGTGCCCACATCGCCGACAAGTGAACAAGGGACACTAAGCCGAACGTGACCATAACGTCGACTCATACAACACTTCTTAATCAAGCTGGACGGTGTGCAACACCAAGTAGCTTTTGACGTTAGGTTATTGTAGGTTCAGAATATTTTTTTTAACTTTTTTCGAACTACAGACTCATACGAAAATTCTTAATCAAACTGGACGGAGTGTGAAGCAAAGCAGCTTTGGATATTAGGTTATTTGTAGGTTTAGGACATGTTTTTTAAACTTTTTAAAATGCAAACTCATACACTGGACAGAGTATGAGGGGCCTGGATTTTCGAACAGTCGGCGTTGTGGTCACGGTCGGCTTAGTGTCCCTTGCACACGTTTCGGCAATGTGGGCACGATCGGCGTAGTGTCCGTCTGCGAAGTGGGCATGGTCGGCGTTGTGTCCCTTGCACACTTGTCGACGATGTGGGCACGGTCGGCGTAGTGTCCGTTGGCGTAGTGTCCCTAGTCGGCGATATGGACCTTCAAAAAATCGTGTCGGCGTTGTGGGCATTCGGCAAAGTGTCCTAGACCCTTTATTACCTACATACCTTTTCTCTCCATCTGTAGGTATGTGTATCGCCCCTTTCTATCATCCTTCGTGTTGCTGTTAATTATTTTTTTCTGCCAGTTCTACATACATATTGTCCTCTTTGTTACATTCTGTACCTTTTGATGTTTTCTCTTGTTTTCCCTTGCCCATTGAAAATCATTTCCCTTTTTGGTTAGTCTTAGATTATCTCATTCATTCCCATATTTTGTATTTTGTTTCTCACTTATTTCTCCGGCTCCTATTCGATGATGATGATCTTCAGTTTACATAATTTAAAAAAAAAACGAGGTAGGTCGACCTTCAATTTTATGGCGGCGAATTTGAGTGACGCTTTACCGGTACGACAAAGAGACGTTTCAAATTCACAAATCTTTCACGACGTATATTTCAAAAACACTGGATTCACAACTGTGATAAAAATGTAACGTCCTCGAGCGTAGCAGAGTGTTTTCGAAATTCATGGAACGTCAATGCCAAAGATCTCCCAATTTTGTTGATAAACTCTGCCTTTTATAAACAAGCGTTATCCTGAATCCACTTTCACTTTCTTTCTTATAGAGCGCGCAAAATTTTATACACCCATTTTTTTCGTCTGACTATAGTAAAATACTGCCTTAATCAAAATAATTTTTCAAAAAATAGAGAAAATTTATACCTACAAAGGAAATATCTGGTAAACTTCATCATGTTACAATGTCTGACCAATTTATATAAAAGCAGTAATTTTACATTTTTATCTAATAATGGCCTACATTTATTTTAAATCAACAAAAACGAACCATGTGTGTGTAAAGTTCTTTATTAAAACTTTCTTTTATTTAGTTGTGTGTAATTAAAACTTTGTGAAGTATTTGATTTAACATCATAATTCCATCTGTAACGATTAGTGCAATCTATTGGTAATGGTATAAGTTTCCACTAAAAACTAAAGTGGTAATTACAGTTTACCAAGTGAAAAATAAGATTTTAATTTCAAGTTGAAAAAATAATTCTAAATAAACGACTCTTTATGCAATTCCAGAAAATGGCACACCTAACTGACAATGAATGTCGTTAACTTACAACGTACAAATATCAAATATTCCGCCCCTCGACCTTAACACTTTTGAAAATACAAAGAGGGTGGTGAGAAAGAAGGTAACGCATGTTAGTCAGTACTCGATATTGTTGAATGTAAGTGGTGGCGATGGATTAGAGGTTTGTAGAGTATATAAAGGCTTTTAAGGACACATTATGTTTTTATGGAGTTCTTGGCTGTTAATGGACAGTGGTTGCTAATAATGTTACAGATTTACTTGACTTTCAATGTCAGTAGGTACTGACAACAACTCACTTAACGTAAATTCTCCTTTCCTAAATGCGTTTTCGCTTATATAGGTACAGGAAGGTATTGATGGGTGTTTTCGTGCGTGGAGTATATAATTGTTTAATAAAGTTTAATGTGGAAAAGTTAAGGATATTAACGCGTCTCCTTTTATTGGAAAAGCTGAGACGATTAATATTAATTATGGTAATGGCCGAGGATATACACATATTATTGTTCGGGATATTGTGGATGTGTACGCGTTTCATTTTAGAAACGACTCCACACCGCCGAACATTAGGTCTATATTTTATTTTTTATTGAAATTACATTTTCCTGAATATAACGTTCAGTCTAACGACTGCGGGTCCGCGTATCTTTAATTAAAGTATATTGGACTGCGAATTGCTAATGCTAACAAGTAAATATGTTTAATACTTGCATCAACTTAATGCTTTCATTCTACGCAACAATTGCGCACTAACTGAGGTTGTTACAGCCAATAATCTTGGCTATGATTGTAACACATGGCAGCTTTAATTATAGTGTTACATCCTCCCTTAAAATTGCTTTATTTTCCGATTCCGTTTGGAAATAATACGGTAGCGTTAAACGCGTAGGGTTGAGCGCCCTTAAATTTAAACAGAACTAATTACGCTTTGTATAATCCAGAATATTTGTAATTTTAAGGGACGAAATAAACACGAAATGAAACGAGTTAATTAGACGAGGATCCAATCAGTCAAAATGAAAAGATTTATATAAATTTTTGAGCTGACCGTTGCAGCAGTGATATGTACTGAAATGCTCACATCAGCGTAACTCGGGTTTTACGCCATAAAAGCCATAAACTAATCAAAGTGTATGATGAATCACACCACATAAATAAAGTAAATAGCTTTTGGAATTGGCGTGAGTTATTATTCCATCTCTCAGCGCAAGTATATCAAAATGTATAGCCATTCACATTAACAATGGTTTTCGGTTTTTAAGCTTCTGAAATCCCTAATGAAATTTCAGCAGTTCATTAGGGATTTATTCCAACTCATTGCCATCATTTGACGGCAATTTAAATATTTCGTATACGATTATCAATAAAAAAAAAGGAAAACCTATTAGTAAATTTATGCCACTATATTATAAGATACACGGCGTACTGGGTAGTAGGATATACTGTAACGTAATTAATTTAATCCTCACTCGCACTCAAATTTGATATATTTACAAATCTTGTAAAATTCCAATTGAAAATACTCCATACTCTCAGTAATAAATTAAATTAATGGCCCATACATGTATTTTATGAAGAGTAATAAAATGACTTTTTATTACGTTTTCAATGACGTCCGCCTTTGATAAATATGTAGACAAGAGAAAAGGGTCGTAAATATTCCTAATCAGTTTGCTATATGGCTTCCATAACTTGCGGGAGAAGTGTTTCTACACCTTTCTTGCCAAAGACATGGTTCGCAATTTGCCCGTGGCGCGATTTAATGGGAAGCATACACCTACATATGGTACCTATAGAGAGAAGATCAATCAATCGATCTAACCTAAAGGGTATTTCTTTGTTAATTTGGAGCCAGCGAATAGAGATATTGTGTCCTACCTGATAGGCGAGATCTCGAGACCATTGTGTTCGTATTTTTATTTTTTTATCGTTAAAACGTATTTAACTGTTATTATATTTATAGATCTATATGGATAGACATCTCGCGGATCAACAAGAACCTTTCAAAACAGATAATTTCCGTTTGTCCTTTGACTTAAAAGGATTTATTTTTTCATGTTAGCTTTTTATGTGTAAAAATAGCACCACTACTATAGAATGGTAAATAAAGCAGAAAAATTTTTTTTCTTTTTCTTTTTTAGCAAATAACACACTAAACATGGGCCAAAGCAGAACTTCTGCAACCTCTCGATTCTTTTGCTGACATCTGAGTTAGACAAGAACTGTAAACAACATCAAAGTGATTCACACCTCTGGGTGTCCTGTTATCCTGTGTGTGATACTCTAGGTTCACAAAAAATTGTTTTGTTTTCGCATAGGCACGTTGTCATCTGGTTTAAAGGAATAGTACATCTGCGTGACATCAGCACATAGATGGTAATTGCAATAATCCAATTTTTCCATTACTACAGATGTGTAAATTGTAAATAGCAGTGGTCCAAATATGGAACCCTGGGTACACTGTATTTAGATTTACCAATTCTCCAGGAGTCGCAAGTATCCAAACAGATGTAGTGTAGAATCGCCAATATTATACCGTGGTTAACCGTACTATGTATGTGAAAACATAATATTTCCACATCAAAATTTTCCCATGCCTGTATGTCCCTTCACGGTAATTTACAAGTGAATCGCAGTGAATTAAATATTGCTGTGTGCGATGATATACGGTCACTACACCACCCACAAAACACCTGTCCAGGTAGCTCAAAACGAATCAAAATTGAAACTACACATCCGGGATCTGCTAGAAGAAAAAATCTAATATTCAACTTCCGAGAATTCCAAAGAGTTTGTTATACAACTTCTAATTTACCCCTGAAATAAATCTTGGACACGAATAAAAAATTTGATATGAATACTCTATCCGAATCGCACTGTAGATTCGAATAAACACACAATAATTAAACATTTATTCAAAAACACAATGAAACAAATTAAAACAAAATCACTGCAAGAAAGAAAGACTTACAATGTTTCTTTGGACATATTACCCGACACTCAAGCGGTCAACAAATAAAACAAGAAATTCTCAAATTAAATAGAATTTTTTTTTAAATAATTCAAATAATCTGGTAGTAGAAGGTTTGAGATATAAGGCGGGGTATACTCACAAACGCGGACAGCTTCTGAAATTCACTTTGCTTTATAACACAGAATTAGATGACACATAAAACTGGCTTCCTGAATAAGATGAACAAATTTTCGGTAGAAACCTATAATAAGAAGAGAACCGCAAACAAACGGCTCGCTGTACTATACTGCTTCCTTTCTCAACCTGACAAAACTTTTTCCGTAATCGGACAACACGCGTTAAACTTTTCACACGATTACTTGCCTCTGCAGCAGCAACCGCGTTTACCCGTTGTGTCCAATATTTAAGCCTCTACGATCAAATAAACTCCTTTTCAAATTTTCAAATAACTCACCAATCTACAATGGTACGCGCCAGACATCTCCAATATGAAACGTACAATTCTTCGTCACACCTTGGCTCTTCCTTATAAACACCAAAACACGTACGCTAATTAAATTTTGCCCGATAATAAAACCTTGTATTGCAAAGGAGTGCCTAATTACTTCTAACGCCTTATCTAAATTGAATAACTTACACAAGCGGTAAAGTTTAAACAAAAATTTCGCATTTACAAAATTTCTAAAAGGAAAAAATACAAGTTCAAATAAAACGAACCAACTCTGTGCTTATCTCGTAAGTAATTCCCCAGCTTTACCTAATAAATGGAACACAACTCATAGATAGTTGGAAAGTAACCGCTACGCTCGAGTTTCCGAATTTTTAGAAAGATACGTATGATCGTTATTAAAAAATCCCTTTCGGCTCGGCCGATTAGGTGTAGGTATATTTCTCTCCGCCATTTCGTTCCAATACGGCGGAATTGGCTGATTCACGAACTTGGCCGAGATATTTATGAGTTACACCAACCTTTAAAGTTTGGTCGAAATCGGTTCATAATTACAAAAGTTAGAGTGTTTCTTGGAAGTGGTAAATTATAGGTAGATAAATGGAAATCTACCTAAAACCCAATGATCTGTCTGTCTGTAATCGCGCACAAATATGTTCAAAATATGAACTGCAATTGTAGGTCAAAAGCAAAACAGTGTTTTTTAATGAAACATCAATTTATGCATGTTTCATATCGATTGCATTTTCTTTAAAGCTTTCTAAAAGTAAATGGAGGTGGTTCGCGATAACGCTTCTTTATGAAAGGAAGTGAAAAAAAGCAGGGAGATTTTTTTGTTGGTGCTCTGTGACACTGGACGATACTCAGTTACGCTCAAGGATTTTGAGTTTCTATCGCCGTTTTTGAAATGTACGTCGTCATAGTTTGGTGAAGTTAATAAAGTGTGTGATTTAGGCCGGTACTTCTGTTCGGTCGATTTTTTAATTAGGTGCCCTGCAGCCTCGTGATAGTAGAGGTCAGCGATGTAATGCCCCCCTCGGCCCTCACCCGTCACTCCAGAAAGAGTGAAAGCAAGCAACGGCGCGGGCGCAACGTGTTGTAGCATCGTTATCAGAAACGTCGAAGCGAATACAGAACAAAAAAAGTCACCATCTGAGCAAACAGAGCAAAGCCAGCATAAGGAATTTTCTTAGACGTTCGCCACTACCACCCCAAGCTGGTGGAAGCTGGTGCAGTGGACTACCGTTGCAGTTCCATACGAAGAGGTCTGCATCTGTGCCGTAAGTTTACAGGATCGTCGATGTTCCCCCTTCGTTGTTTTGCCGTTTACGTTTACCAAAATGTTTAAATTGAAACCTTTGTGTGTGTTAATGTTAGATTTACATTGTTCCTTGTTTTTAACTAGTGTTATGTTGTTAATAATCTAATAGTGGTTTAATTTTAGATTTATAGTGTTTATAATTGTTTTTAAACTTTTTCAGGTTTGTTCACGAACCCAGTAAATTTAGAGTATCTTGCAATTTGGGTAAGCCGAGTGTGTGAATGAAACATTGTTTGTGAAAACAGATGAAATTAAATTTCGTTTGTAAATCTAGTTCTTTTGGTTTATTGAAATCATTTTCAGGGTCCATTTCATTTAATTCATTTACTGTTGTAAATTAATGTGCTGGTTATCGATATCTAGTGTAAAGACTAGTTTTCAAATTCTGTTAGGGCGTTAGGCAGTACATCGCGTCCGTTCGTCCGGACCCACTTTTGCGGTTTTGAACTACTTTTAGGGCAATGGTACTAGAGTCCTGGATTTTTTTGAAATATGTACCTTGAAAGTGTGCCAGCGAGCCATCAAATTTCGCTGTCTGTTTTTGAATGTAAAACGTGCATAACTTTTTCATGCGACAACCAACTGGTTTCATAATTTGCATACGCATGCTTTTAGTGGTGCCAAGTAAAATTTTTGAAAATGGAGGGGGGGGAGGTGACCACACGTTCTACCCTTTATGGTATTCTAATGAAAGGTTTCACCGAAATGAATTGGTTTGTGCAAACTAATAATTTTCCTGCGCGACTCCTTTCAATCAATAGGTAGCCGGGGGGAGGAGGGAGGGGGTAGTAATTAATTTTATCTTTCATGGTAGTCCAATTAAAGGTATCAACAAAAGAAACTGTCTACGAACAACATATTCATTTATATCTCAACGTAATCATTCTCCTCTGCGGATTCCACTTCTTCAGGCTCTTCGACGTCCTCTAGTGGTAGTGGGTCGTCTGAAATTACCGACTCCTCGTCTTCCGCTTTACCTGATGCATGGGTACATTGAAGAGACGACGTGGCATTTATGCACGATATTCCATGACACTGGACAAAGAGTTTATTACTTCAGACCTACAACAAGAAGCATTGTCAAAAAAAAATACTGTTTTTACGTGAATAAATGGTACATAGAAATACTTTGTTTTACAATGAATATTTCCTCACACATGAAAGTTGAAGGTGAAAGATGACTTTACGCTAACTCTCCAGTTACCTACCTCGTATGAAATTGCACGAAGAGCATTTTCAGATAAATATATTTCATCTAGCCCTGAAGGTCGCGATATATTTGCAAAAAACCGCAAAAAAAAACACACGAAAATTGATGATTTTCGCCTCCTTTTATGAATTTTCTAGGCTGAGGTAGACCTTGGCTAACTTCTAAGCATCAACCTAGTCTGAAAATTTCTTGGAATCACGGGCAATACTTAAACAATATTGCACCAAGCTAATAAGATGCCCATTGTCTATATAATGGTCCTGCTGCTCCATTTTGGCTTTCAGAGGCAAACCACGGAACGTGCCCAACACATTTTGCTCATGAAATCGTTAACGACTTGGACTTAAAAATTCATTGCTCTTTATTGCTGTCCAAAATTAAGAAAAACTTATACAGTATTATTCAGTTTTATTGCCATAGCTTTAGAGCTTTGGAAAAAGACACACTACAAATAGAATGGAAATGGTCACCATTACATAACAAAGATAATGTAGGTAGAAATGAAAAATACGGATTGCTATAAAGTAGGATTAGAACATAGAGAAGGTTGTCACAATTACAAACGTTTTGATACTCGAAATTTCCAATTAACTGAAGGCACGTTAGGGTTCCATGTATCAGAGGTAATATTTAGTCCCGTTTGCCGAACAATAACAGTCAAATTAAAAAGATAGTTACAAAATACGGCCGAGAAAAACAGATTGAACAAACAGACGCTACAACATATCAAGCACCCGGTGGGAATGATTATCAGTAGCGACAATATTCATATGTGATTTAGGACATGACTGTAATTAGGGGTACCATAAAATGCATGCTAATAGTCGGCGGCTGTTGCATCGATATATCGCCTGTCTTCCTCCCTGAAACACTGCTGAAACACGCACACTATTATAACATAGAGTGCTTATTTGCAAGTGTTATTCAATTTATCTGGCCGCACCCGCGCCTTGTTTATTGGCTCACTGTGATTTCTACACGTGTCTTCCACACGTGTGCTACTTGCTTGTATTATGGCGCCTAAATTTGACTTGGAAAATTGTTACAGATCCGTGAGTCACGTGCATATCGAAACTTTGTCAGTTTTTTTTTATTCGGTCACGACTAACCATTTTATTTCTATTTACTGTGCCAATTCCTCCCTTCCAAATCAGAGTGGAAAATATT